GAGGTGATCGCGCACACCGTGGTGCAGCGCTATCTGCAAGAGCTGTGGCAGGGTAGCTTAAATTGGAACGCGTTCAGGACGATCCTGCTGTTCATCGCCTTCATCGTGTGCCCGCCGGTCTGGGTGGTGTTCGCCCTTCCCCTCGGGCACAAGTACAACAACGTGCCTATCATCAAGTTCATGTCGTATCTCACATCGCACATCTATCTGATGGTCTTTCTGTTGCTGGTCGGCATCACGCCGATCTATCCAGTGGTGAGGGCCAGTCTGATACCGTACTGGTACGAGTGGTGTCTGCTGGTGATGCTGTCAGGACTGTTGCTGTTCGAGCTGACGAATCCCAGCGACAAGAGCGGCCTCGGCTGGATCAAGCTCGCGGTGCTGCTCTTCGGCATATTCGGCGTCGCGTTTCACCTGATGGGATTCGTAATCGTGGAGAGACCGTACTGGCCGACTCTCCTCTACCTGAGAAACCAGCTTTTTGCCCTCAGTTTCCTTTTAGCTTGCGTGCAGATCCTGGACTTCCTGTCGTTTCACCATCTGTTCGGGCCGTGGGCCATCATCATCGGTAATCTCATGAAGGACCTCGCGAGATTTCTCGCGGTGCTGGCGATCTTCGTCTTTGGCTTCTCCATGCACTTCGTCGCGCTCAATCAGGCGTTCAGGAATCAAACGCCGCAGGAAGCGCGCGCGGAGGACAGGAAACTAAAGAAGCCATTCTCTGACGGTAAGTTCGAAACATCGTCATTCTTATTTCTACATCCCTCCTATCTTCGGTCTTCTTTCCTCCTCTCTCTCTCTTTCTCTCTCACTCACTTTCTCTCTACTTCTTCTTCTCTTACTGTATACCTCGACGCCAATCCAGAGCTAGTGGCGCAGTTAATTGATTTTTTACAGCCCCGTCTATAGGATATATACATATATACGCGCACACGTACTGTAGATACGACATGTACCGTAGATACGTTATGTAGATACCCAAACGTAGGGCTAGATCCTAGATTGGCAATCGCTTCGACGCGCGGTACTGGTTTCTATTTAAACAGGACGTAGACAGTGCTTTCGCCCACGCAGGTGCAAATTCGCGTGGGTACCGAAATAACGGTGCGGTTCCCTCCCCTGTGCATAATCGGCGAACGCGTTCTTCCTCTCCCTGAGTGGCCTGAGAGTCGGTTTAAACCAGGAGTTGTATGGAGCTACGCGAGTGCAATTTCGATGAATTCAGATTTCGACGTTACGAAACGCGAATCGCAGGTTAAACTCATCGAAATTGCACCGACCGTGCAATCGTAATTTATAGATGCAGAAACAAACGTTCACCCCCTCGAACGTTCCTCCGCCAAAAATTTACTCCCCCCCACTTTGAGAAAGAGTCATTGACCGTTGCGGTCAGTTCGCACGTTAGATATTTCGTATAGATCATTTATTTAAAATCTCTCGGAGTAAGTCTACTTCATGTCGATCATACTCAGAGACATGCGGAGCGATACTGAATCATAACCGAATGAATTGCAATGATAGATTTGTTGGCCAATGTTACGGAATGGATGATGGAGACGCCACCAACGGCGCCTCCTCGTCGCTACGGCCGCTACAAGAAAAAGAATGAGTGCTGTGACGATAACAGCCGAGATTGTAAGTTTACAGCTGATTGAGAAAGATTAATCAGAAGCAACCCGAGCGCGGAAAGCAAACCGAGAGCAAAAATCGCGCACGCGGGATGAATGCGGGACACGATCCGTCTCGGTGTCGTGTCGTCTCGTCTGCATCGTGCATTTCGCCAGTGTGTGTTGTCTGCTGAGACTGCTGCCTGATATGACGAAGCGCAAGAAAAGAAAAGAAAACGATAACCGGGGAAAAAAATACACGCAATATTGTTTCGCGTACGCTGCGACTCGGAGACGACGGTAAAGAGAATGGAGCAACGAAAGCGCGAGCTCGACAGAGAGTTCGCCAGAGAGGATAGCAGAGGAAAGTCCTCTATTATATGCGATAGGTTTCTAATATGAGATAGCGGGTTTTCAACACCCAGCTTCAATCGCAAAAATCTTTTACACACGATTACAAAATCTACCAATGAATTTTCTACTAAACAGATTTCGTCCCAAGGGCAATAAATTCACGGCGGAACCAACAAATGATGCCTGTTAAGTTAACAGAAACCCCGCTATCTTATATTGGGAGTCTATCTCGTAATAGGTGACTTTTCTCTACATCTCTCCCTCGCGCAAATAGCGTCGTTTAAAGCATCCCGGCGCAACAACCGTCAGCTGTCGCGTTAACTGCGGGATTTTTAAAAATTCCTTTTGCACACTTGTCTACACTTCGGACTCGTCCGCGGATCGTCCCCGCGTCGCAGCGTACCGAACGAACATTTATAAAATTGGTCTGAAAGCTCGTGAACGACGTTTCTGTCTATGCAACTGATTAGCTGACGATTAGCGTTACCGGAGCATATGTGCTCTCTTTCACAGCCTCTGCCCGTGTGCATCCCCGTGTCTCGCTATGTACGTATGTGTCCTGTATATGTATTATACATATATGACAACGCACACACAGACACACACAGATATATATGTGTATGTACGTGCGTGTTTCTCTCTCTATGTACCTACATCATAATTTGTCTGTAATAACTGTGGGTTGCTAGAATCGTGTTTATGCTAGTGGACGCCGATGTTGTTATGCAATTCATGATGCGCATCAATCGCACGGTCGTTTTTATGTGTGACTCGATCAACTCTGCGGACCGTCCCACAACCCCGTTCCCTCCGCGTTTCCCCCCCCCCCCATTTCTTCACCTCTCTTTCCCCTTTTTTCTTCAACGGACCATTACAGGACCGCCACCCGGCCGAGAAAGGATCTTTTCGTCCTCTCCCCCTCCGTGTCCTTGCATGCAAGCAACAGTTTTGCGCGACGTGACGCGCCCCCGACTTCGGAGTCGCGCAAGCCAGGCAAGCGAGGAGGAGGGCGTGCATCTACCGAGAAATTGCATGCCGCATCCTCTCATCCACTGCGATACGTTTCAAAATCGCCACCCGCGCCCTCCTCTCTTTTTCTCTCTCATTCAGCATGAAATGGCACGACGAATGCCCTTCCCCCCCATTGTTGTTCGATCACTCGCTGCCTCGAGAAAAGGCGCACCGGTATCGGAATGCATCCCCCCCGTTAGCGAAACGCATCGCAGGACTCGTCGCGCGTCTCAGAAACGCACAGGTCCGACGATGGAACTTGATCGTCGCGAGTTTGTCGAGGAGAAAGAAAAGAAAGGGGAAAAAAAAGAGGAAAAAGGGAAGCGCGATTGCGTCTGAGTCGGAGATTTGAATGCAAGACGAAGTAGAGCGACGAGGCTGAAAAGACGAGTGACAGTACGTACTCGACGATGATCGCAGCCTGCAATACAACGAGGTTCATGGCATGCATCCGGCGTTAGTTGGCAGCCGCAGCTGCAGAGCATGGCCAGAGTCTAATATAAAAGATATGCATGAGCATGTTCGTTACGTTTGTTCGTTCGCTCGCTCGCTCGCTCGCTCGCTCGCTCGATCGTTATGTAACGTTATGGAATATGCTCACATGCGCATCCGTATACCAAATAGCCGAGTACCCACCAGTAGTAGCCGATCTGTAATGGCACGAAGCAATGAGCTAACAAAAAAAAAAGAGAACGAAGGAGCCTTTAGAGCTATCAAGAAACGTCTTGTGTGTGTGTTGTGTGTGCCTCGTAATTCCAGTAAAGATGAACCCGGTACTCGCCTTCGAGTATCTGTTCTTCGCCGTCTTCGGCCAAACGACCCACGGCGAGCTGAAGGTCGAGACCAATCAGCCGCAGTGGACCTCGGTCCTCTTCAAGTTGACCTTCGGCGTGTACATGTTGGTCTCGGTAGTGGTGTTGATTAATCTGCTGATCGCCATGATGAGCGACACTTATCAACGGATACAGGCGCAGTCGGACATTGAGTGGAAATACGGACTCAGTAAACTGATTCGGAACATGCACAGGTAAGCCTGCGACCTTTTACGACTCCGAATACACGTCCGATAATAGTCCGCTATGATAAATCGCTGCGATAACCGACGCGGTCAGTCCCGGTACCGAAATAGCATGTCTATCTTTTCCCACGTTCGGCCGGAACTCCGAACGTTACAAGTAGAATTTAACGTTATTTCGAAACGCTCTCGCGTTTTCCACCGCGTTCCCCGCTGTAGCGCCACTCGCTTTTACACAGTTTCACGTGCAACCTTCGTTGTCTCGACCGTTGTCCCTTAAGTAACTCGCGCTGTTAAGCATTCGGGGTTAACGGGGCATTCCGTGCTGGGAACGCGATTGCGTGTTACAGAACCACTACGGCTCCGTCCCCGCTAAACTTGCTCACCACCTGGACCGTGTACTTCATCAAGCTATGCAAGCAGCGCTCCGCTAAACGCAAGCGGCCCTCGCTGGTGCACATGATGGGGCTGCAGCGCGCCGGCCGTTTATCGCCGAGGTCCAAGATGGGCGCGAAATGGTTGTCGAAAGTTAAGAAGGGTCAGGTGCGCCCGAAGGATAGCGTGACCCTTTCCGTGGTGCATCTCAGCCCGCTGGGCAGCCAGCTGTCCTTCAATAGCGCGACCAGAATAGAAAACGTAGTGGACTGGGACTCGATCAGGAAGAAGTATCTCGCCCTTACCGGGAATGAGCCCGAGAAGGATGAGGAGAAGGAGAAGGGCGGCGGGGACGAGGACGAGAGCGGGCCGACGGCATCCAACGCCTCGACGATACCGGCGACAGCCCCGAATCCGCCCATGTAAAAGACTCGTCGTCGCCCTTCGACCGAGTTTCCGCGCGAAAAGCAGCGCGAGCAAACGAGCGATACTATGACACCGTCGCGCATCAGCGACCACGCGCTCCGTATTACTTGCTAGACAGACTTAGCGACTAAGTGCGCCAAAGATCTTCCACGAATAGTATGTAAAATCGTAAACCGCTACCGCAGACATAAATCCTCAGACGATCGAGCGAGACCATCGTAGAGGATCCTCGCGCGATCCTCGACGCACCGGCGACCAGCCGAGCATTTAAGCACCTAAGTAAGTAAAGTCTCTCGACATGTGATACATGAATCTCGTAGGAACGCATATAATTGATGTTGTTTGTCAGAATATCTGAGAATGGGCCAATTTCGCCGACACATCATACCCTTTCCGTCACATTTCACCGGATGACGCCTGCGAATGCCGAATCTCCGCGAATCCTCGTCACATCCGCTCGCTCTCGATGTCTCATTGAATGTTGGATCATTCATCCGCGACACTATACCGCATTATCATCCGTAGGACGCAGATTTTATCTCGATCGACTCGTTGCGACGAGATTTTCCATTAGAGAGCCGTTGCTGTAAGCATTAATTAAAGTCAATTCACATCAAAGTCATCTTCAAACGCCGAGTCTCATCTGTTGACTTTAACTAACGTTTACACGGACGGTTCGTAATAATAAAATATCCTCGACGTCGCAAATGTTTAAAGGCACATCCAAGTATCCGAAGGTCTCGTACTCTATCAAGCGTCCCTTTAAACGTTTGTAATATTGGGGATAATTGCACGTAACATGACGTCACATGTCTCCTAGTTTCTTTTGTGTTTCATGCGCTTATAAAATTAGAGACCGTCCCGTTAGACAAGAGCGCGTTTTTCTTAGGCGCTTGAACTTTTTCCGACGGCAGGCAAAAGCGAGGAGTTCGTACGAGTCGCAGCATATTATACCCTGTATGGCTTGAAATCGATCCTTTTTGCGACGTTTCGTAGTGGCAACGTGTAGCATGTGTATGGGCAGTGGCAGACAACTCTTGCATACGTCCACGCGGATGTACACGAGACACTTTACGAGACACGTTGTTTAACGCGTATTTACAGTAAGGATGGATCCCATACTCGCGGTCGAGTTATTGTTCTTCGCCATCTTCGGTCAGACGACGCACGAACAATTCAAGGTAGAAACGATGCAGCCAAATTGGACGACCGTCCTCTTCAAGCTCACCTTCGGCATTTACATGCTGGTATCGGTGGTGGTGCTTATTAATCTCCTGATCGCCATGATGAGCGATACCTATCAGCGGATACAGGCGCAGTCGGACATCGAGTGGAAATACGGACTGAGCAAACTCATTCGAAATATGCACAGGTAATGAGACTCACTGAAAAAAAAAACAGATAGTGAGAAGAAGGAACGGTAGGTTGTTGTATGTTGCATGAGAGCACCACTTACCATCGCACTAATCGACTAAATTTTCAATACGCGACAGGACCACCACGGCACCATCTCCGCTGAATCTCCTGACCACGTGGATTACGTACTTCGTCAAGCTCTGCAAGAAACGCCTGACCAAAAAGCAACGGCCGTCTCTGATGCATCTGATGGGTGGCGCGCGTTTGTCCCCTCGCACCAGGATGGGGGCCAAGTGGCTGTCCAAGATAAAGAAGAATACGCAGGTGGGACAACTGAAGGACAGAGGCAACTTGTCAGTGGTTCATCTGAGTCCTCTCGGGAGCCAGTTGTCCTTCGGTAATGTTGTCAAGATAGACAACGTTGTCGACTGGGAGGTCGTCAGGCGCAAGTATAGAGATCTTTACGGCGAGAAGATCGAAGAAAAGCCGGTCGAGGAGAGCAAGGAATCGATCGAGAATCCGTTGGCGGTTTTGGAAGGCTCGTCGAGTACCGCCGAGAAATCGAGGCTTGGACTTGGAGCTTGAACGAGAGAAGGAAAAATACCGCTGATAATATCTTAACTCTCACGAAAGAGAGAGAGAGAGAGAGAAACAGAGAGATAGAAAAAAAGATCAAAGCTCTTCCTATTTTCGCAGATTCGCCGCACCAAAGCGCTCAATCGCATACGTTTACTTATCATACATATATATCGCCATATGGAACGTATACGAAGGACCTTGTCAGTATTTTCGAAATAAAAGTTTAAGCTCGACCAAAGTCGAGCAACCGCCGCCTGTACAGTTATTGTTAGCTAGCAAACCTGTACTCCTTGTGATCCATAGTCTAATCGATTACCTATAACACGTTTTAGAGGCTACCATGGGGAATACCCGTGTGCATAGGAATCGTTCCACGTCACATTTGACGGTTAGTCATCAACATTATTTAATTATAAAATTCTCTTCCCACCTGGAATGTTTTATTGATCATGTATATGTACGATATATACCTATATATAAATATAAAACTATATAGCGCAATATTGCCTAACGGCTCTGTTGCAACGATGCACGCACCGATCATTATGCCTGCATCATGTTGCTCACGGTATTTTCGTGTAATATATCGGTGCGCTCGATACACATATTTGTAGGATGTGTACCTACGTAGGGCCATAATGGAACTGCCTTCGAAACTCACATCACTATATACATATGTACACACATAAACTGGATGTGTAGCATGTATACTTGTTAATATGTTAATCGGAGTTAAACGCGTCTACAGGATTCACCTCTCGATCATTCGCATGTTGTAAGTTCGGCTGGCACGCACCATGAATGTACACCCTGCAAAAAGAAATAGTTAAATTAAAGCGGATTCAACATGAGAGATTCTGCTCTGTATGACGAACGCTTAATCTATAAAATCGGGATTTGGTTTAGAAATGTTGACTCCTACCTCTTTCTACTCGCAATGCATAAGAATTGTATAAATAATTTTTAAATTGAATGCAAATTTGAGAAATAGTTTCATATCATGTGCACGGAATTAATATCTTTTAACTTGCGATTGTCTTATCTTAAAAATAAAATGCGTCGATAGAGGTAGTAGAAAGAAATTCAATGATTCTAAGAGCCATTCCTGATGTCTCACGCACAGATTAAGAATTCGTCATTTTACAAAGATACTAAATTTCTATCGAGTTCCTTTTAATTTCTCTATTTTTCACGGGGTGCACAAAGCGAAAATCAAAATGCAGTTTTCACGTCGCAAGCCGCATTCATCGCATCCATCCTGCATTTGTAAATGCGTTTAGAAAACTTTTTACCGACATATCGAATGTGGACATCTCTTTGCAGTTTATTACTCATTTTATCAGTGCTCGCTCATCGAAATTTCTTGATACGCGCTGCTCATCTCATCGCATGTTTTAGGTTTTATAAAGCTCAACTTTTCTTCTGATTGATCGCCAATTTTTACTGGACGAAGACTAGGATAGTCGTCAGCATGAATATTCAACAGTTTAATAATCCAAGGACTGTAAATACCATATAATTTTTTCTGCTTGTAATCAGAATGACAATGAATAGAATAGCGATAACACCAATCCATTCTGTATTAGCAGTGGTGTAGTCCGAAATGTGCAACTGCAATGTCCAAAATAATGATTACTAGTTACGAACACTCTGCCTCAGTTGTACTATACCGCTGTATTAGTGTAGGAATATAAAACTTGAAATGCTACAATGAAATATAAATAGGAATGACAATTGAGATTAACTAAATATAAGTAAGATTCTTTTAACTTACCGTTCTTTTTCTCTGTTTGCTCAGTGATGGTTAGTGTGATTGAGATCACGGAGAATCTCTTCTTCGCCATTTTTGGCCAAAAAGACTCCAGCCACTTTACGATGTCATTAGACCGCAAGCAGCAGCCGTGGTGGACGATTAATTTTTTCAAGGTAATTTTCCCAGAAAATAATGTACTAGTTATCCATCTGTGTGTGTACAATTACCTTCATTCAAGTTCAAGAAATAAGTATTTCCTTCGTTTCGCTAGGTGTCATTTTCATTATACATGCTCGTCAGCGTCATAGTGTTGATTAATCTACTAATTGCTATGATGAGCGACACGTATCACAACATTGTATCACAGAGTGACATCGAATGGAAATTCGGTCTCAGTAAATTAGTTCGCTACATGCAAAAGTAAGTAAGCACAATTGCAACGAAGAGTATAGCGTGAGCACTAAAGTTATTTAGTTCTTGATTTTTGTGCCTTCAACACGAATACATCTTGCAGCTGCGCTTTCGTTGAATTATTTTAATTAAGTAAAAATTAAAACTTTTGTGTTGCTTATGGTGATACATAATTATGTAAATACACGAAAAGTTTTTAAATGCCACGTAATTCTTTCTCATTAGACTTTCATGTGAAACTTAAAGTGTAATTTTTTATGCATCATCGTTTAAATTTGCAAATCCTTGCTGTAATTTTATTCTGACCCTTATTTTTAAAGAGCAAGGACAGCTCCAGCGCCGTTAAACCTCGTTACCACATGGGCAGGACATCTTAAGAACGTTTGTATGAAGAAACGAAATGCAAAGCAAAAAATCGGCAGATCGCATGGATACATGGAACCTGATATGCATCCAAGCGGTTTGCCAAAATATTCTACCGTACGTAGATATATGATCGTGTTGATTACATATAAAAATATTACAGTTTACTAGCAAAATTTTTAAACATCGTCACTTACACGACCTAGCAAAGAAATGGATCTAAGTGTTCCCTTTGATTTTTATGAGTTTTGCATATGTTTTAACATAGATCAAAATAAGAAACACATAGTTTTTTATAAATATTCTTATGCACGTTAAGGAGGTGAAGTGTCTGAGATATGCAAAGTATTTTAAACAAAACTCTTTGGTAAGATAAACCAATTTATAAATGTGTATTCAGATTTTTTGTAAATATTATATTTCAAAATATTCTCACTATTATTTTCGACAATTTTTATATAACAAAAGGTTAAAGTTTACAAGACACATTTAACTGAATATGTATAACAACATTATTTTCTGAAAACATTTTTACAAGATTTAAATGAGCCAAATTAAGAAAAAGAATATAAGAGCCAAGACAGGATGTTAATGTTCAAGTGATTTCAATTTTTTAATTTGTTGCGCAAAATTTACCTCAGCCAGGGTTTAAGCCTGGATCTCCCTCTCACTAGGCGAAACGCCCGCCTAGTTAGAGGACACTAACATCCTGGTCTTAGCTCTTATAGTATATCCTTTATTACTTCGTGTTCGTGATTTCACGTCAGAGCCTTATAAATTTGATTTGTTTAAAAAGTCAAGGCATTTTATTAAGATTTCAGATGACTTTTCCATTCTATTTTTTTTTTAGTTAAATAAATTTCACATGACCTCTTTCTATTTCGTTTTAGAATACTAGAATGCTTCCACTACCGCGAGCAGCGAAGGAACGAATCAACTTCTCATTGCTTCAATCAAGTCCGACTACCAGTCAAACTTCTTTAAAAAATATTCCGAAAATACAAAACGTCATCGATTGGGATATAGTCCGAAGAAAGTATCGTATGCGATTTGGGGATGAAATCGAGAAACCGTCTAGTGGAGAGGCGACGCTTGCTGAAATGGCTTAAACAATAAAGCTGACGCGCGCAATATACTCCATTATTACATGCAAATATCCATACGCGTAATTTTTTTATTATTTTATATCGGCCTATTTTATATCATAAAGTACTTCTGATAGAAATATCATATAAATAAGCACTTTCTACATTTGTACGTTTCCTTGCGATATCGCTAATTGTAATGAAATACATATAATACGTGTCATAAGTGTAGGTATCGGAGTTACGTCTCTTTCCACGATTGTTCACTTTATCTTGCCCTTTCCGAACGGTGGCTGTGCGTTGGTTTGTAGATAAAAAATACCTTGAGCATCAGTGTTGATAAATTCGCCCATAACGACGGTACTAGAATTGTTATCGCTGCATTTGCCAAGCTGAAAATCCATCCAGTCGGGGCACTGCACAGCGACAAAGCCATCAGGATGCACGATGGACTCGGCAAAAAATTGATGCGACCTACCATGGCTGCAGGTTTCTAAAAATATAAGGTAGATCAATATCCTCTCGCACGTAATATTGTAAAATTTGTTGTGCAACAATGTTGGCACCGTACGGGATGAAAATACGGGGCATCCGGGCTGCCTGAACGTTCCACCGTTCGGGTAAAAATCCGCGTGGCCAATGGGTCTGAGGAAGCCTAAACTGCCGGCACAAGTGTGAATAATATCCACGAAATTGGCGTCCGCCGCATCCAGTCGTTCCTCCGTATCTTTAAGATAAGGCGTCTCGAATGACGGCCCAGCCGGATCGAGTCCAGTGATTCGACCGAGCTTCTTCGACATGTAATTACCGATGTACCCGGCTACATGAGCACCCAAACTATGCCCCACAATGTGGACATCATCGAAAGAAACTTGAGTCTCCGATTCGAGAAATTCGATAAATGCAGCGACATATTCTCCCACCTATGAAACATGAATATTGATTTCGCATCATGTTCTTGCAAGACAACAATTCTCGTAAAAGACAAGTGCGCACGAAAGCAAATGGAATCTGGAATTCTCGTAACTTCGCGAAATCAATTTCGTACTCGTCTTTCACTGTGATTTGTATATCGTGTAACAGAAATAATCTTTTCTATTGCAGCGTGATTTGCGTCATTTTATAAAACAAGCCTTTTTTTAGTAATTCTCTAACATAAATTTTGCAAGCAAAGTTTGTCCAGGAAAATCAGAACTTAAATCTCTTTACTTTAATAGAATATGCAAATCGTTTAATCGCTCACCTGATGAGTAAGTTTGACGGACGTTAGATATTCTTTGGTCGAACCGGCGAACCAATCTACGCAAATTACATTATAATCCCCAACGCTAAGATAATTTCGTCGAATGTCGTGGAGCCAAAAAGCATTTCCGCTCTCTGTCCACCCGTGAATAATGATCTTGGTCGGCCATGCAGGATTAAATGGCGATTCCTTCAGTTGAGTAGTATCACCCACTCGTAGAGATACAGCTTGCTCCTTATTGTCCTTCGTATAAAGCTCATAATTTATATCCTGCGCTTTAAAGTCTAAATCGAGCACATTGCCGAGCGTCGCATGATCGGCCTTTGAGATAATCGATGTCGGATTCAAAAGAACCTCCAAGAGACCTTCTTCGGGATGGTGGTCTTGAAAAGTTTGAATCGACGGCCGATTACCCAATAACTGGGCTGTATTGAAAGGTACATCTAAAATCAAAATGATAAGAATCGACGATACGTTTACCAATATTTCTACGACTGGATGTATTGTATTTTTTGCGACAAAGTTGAAATCATTTTATATGTGCATAAGAGGAACCACACGGTACTTAGAAACAGAAATACGAAGAACGTTGCAACGAGAAACATTGTAGTATCTTTCGGTGTTTTTACTGGACGGTTTCTTATATACCTTCGTGTTGCATGAGCAGAAGTATTCTTAGATCACTCGATCCATTAGATCTTATTACTAACGTCGCGAGCAAGAAAATGCATAACAAGAGTTGCCCCACGAACTTCCGGTACTTGTTTATTCTAACTTAAGTATGTACAGATGAACAGAGAATCATGCATTACGTAAATTGATTTGGTTCCATGTATTTTTTCATATATTAGTATGTGTTTAGGATTAGATATAGACGACAGGTTTTTTATAGAATCATTTATAATTCTCTTTTACTGAAAAGAAAAAAATACAATATAAAAGAATACAAAATTATCATTATATCAGATATTATATTATATTTTAATGGAAGAACTAATTGTAAGCCTCTTTGGTCACATTATAATACACATATAGGCATTACAGTGGAATCACTCGAAGGTAACACGTTATATTTGTATAATACTACAACATGTTAAGTTATGAACGTAAAAAAATTATAAAAAATGGAATACCAAACAATACTAGGTTATTCACTAGATTCTTGATTGCAATTTGAAAAAATAGAAATGAAACTTTATGGCTTGTTCTTCTGGAGGTATACAGTTTCTTTGCCATGTCTGGTAGATGTAACAACATTCAATCCGTGTATAGCAGCCTCTTCACGTACAATTTCATACTCTTCTCTTGTGAAGCCTTCTGAGAGGGATTGTCTTAATACGTCGTTACTCTGGATAAGATTTTCACACAAATCACTCACGGCTTTCCGAAATTCGGTAACTTTTTTCTTTTCCGTGTTTGATCTAAAGCAGTTCTGCCATAATCTTCTTTCTATCTCGCGATATTTTAATTGTTTCGCGTTCGTCTGTAAAAAAAAAGTGTCATTACAAAAATCACTTATGAAAAAAAAATCTCCAACTTACTGTCTGAATCGCTTTTTGTATCGAGTTATTGCGAGGCTCCAACACGAGGGCTTTGCGTAACTCCTTCATAGCACAGTCGTATTCCCCAATATTTAGCAAAGCTATTCCAAAACTAGAACACAAGAAAAAATTTTATTATAACACTAATTAAATATGTTTATACATACAGTCGAATCAATTAACAATAGTACACACTTATAATAGCTTTTAGCTGTTGGTATTGGCACTCGTCCCAAGGCTAGGCAAGCCTTAAAAGGCAGTTTTTCCTTGTTGTAACAAATCCCTACATTTGTGCAAGCTCGTGAGAGAAGTTCGTTCATTCTGTTCTCTTCCGAGATATCTTTCAGCTTGACGGACTCCAAACAATCAATAGCTCTTCTATATCTGCAAAAAGAAAAAAATATATATACAGATATGACTGCGTGTGCATTTACAGAAACTTGATATCAGTTACTTACTCTCGTATCGCCTGCTTAAAGTTAAACTTTGTAAAATGGTCCCTGGCAGTCGCAAGCATATGTATTATAGGCAGCTCCACATGGTTAAATGATTGCTTCTCTTCTGCATTGAGGTCTTGATACGTAAGTGCGGATCCATTGTCAACATAATCGATCAAATGAACAATAAATGCTACTTCCTCATTAGGTGGAATACGCGGTGGACAACCGATGGCCTTGTAAGCTAAGTCTGGGTGTATTATAAACACCGACTTTTCATGCTTTCGCATAGAACGTATTGCAATCTCTAAGCCAGGTAGGATAAAATTCTGGTTTAAACGCAACGTTCTCGGCTTGCCGCTCGAGTAAGTGGAATCGAAAGGCTCATCTCTGTACTCAAGGTTTCCAAGGTAATGAACACTGACTTGAGCATCTTGCGGTATAATCTCCCCTACGCCGTTTTGCTTAATAAACTTCATGACCTAATGACAATTTCATTAAGCCTGTTAATATTACATTTATGATCTTATTTAGTTGCATCGACATATTTACCCAACAAGATAACGACAATGATATCTCTGTGAGAAAAGCAAATAATATTTAAGAACAATAATATAAAATTCGACTAACTTTTTGATCCGGAGTCAGGCTAGTCATCTTTGACTTCAGCTTCGAGAAGCTCATACCGTAGATGGTTGAGGGTCCTGCATCGTGCTCCTCTTCCTCTTCCTCATCCTCGAAATTATTCATATTTAACATATTCAACATCTCCTGATTGGTGAATTGTACGTGCGGTGAATATGGAAATTCCTCATCCTCCTCCTCCTCATTATTACCCACGTCATCGCCTATCTCGAATGTAATGCCGTCATTTAGCAAATCGCTGAAAAGATACAATGGTAATAGGTATAGGTTGCCTTTCTTTCAGGAGACACAAATCGCCGAAAGTTAACACACTCGAGCACAGTTTGCCACCGTGAAGTGGCAAAGATTTAAAGAACAGGATTTTAAGGAAAGGTTCTGTCGAAAAGATTGTATCGAAATACTTAGCGGGGATGCGTTCTTCGGACAAAAACACACTCCGACTTTCCTCCCGAGCAGAGTCAAAAAGGGTCGATTGAGTTTGAATTAAATTCTAAACGGAAAGCGACATGTGTCGATTTGTGTAAAAAATGTCTATGTTCTCTGAAGGATCGTCTACAATAGACGATGTAAGCCTGGCATAAGAAGTAAGAGTAGGAGTAAAGAAATGAATCATTGCCATTTCTTACTTCTACTTCAGCTCTGACGCTTACTCTCGGTGAATTAGAGCGCAGTTCGACCAGGGGGTCGATTCTGTATCTTACACTATAGTGAAAGTGCTAAAAGCGAGCGGCTCTGTCTATCTTTAACCGTCCCCTTAGAAAGAGACAAAGCCGCTCACTTTTAGCACTTTCACTATAGTGTAATGCGTGGTCTACAATACGTGGAGTAAGCGTGGAGTAAGGAGTAAGGGAGAGCCCT